TCAAATTTCCGCCACTGAACAGCAAAAATATATATGTATACATATGCTGACACTGATATATACGTCAGCCATAGTGCTCAGCATGACCTCTCCTTCCAGTTCTAGGATTAGTGTTTTAATTGGCCACCGACCTAGCCTCTCCCTAACATAAAACTGCTGGCACAGATCTGGGACCGTGCTCCGATACATCTTGGACCTTATCATTAAAATTATCCTTAAAGTTATTTCCCAGGTTTTTAATCACATGGCCATCAGAAGGAGCTTCCCGAGATGAGGCCTTCTATTATTTTATGACGCCCATAAATTTTAAATGCAATGAAATACAAGGTACCACGTTTTCCCTCATTGGAAAAGGAGAAATGCAAGCACCCGAAAAATGGTTCAGGATTCCGGGAAATAAGCTGCGATATTTCTAGCCCGGTCACTGTAGCTGAGTGGCCTCGATTCTGTGTTTATACAGCTCTACCACAGAAGAGATGTTTCTTACCCAGTATAAAAGGCTTGTTAGCTAAAGCTTCTTGTTCTAGCAGCCCTGTCACTTTTTCCAAGACCTTTGAGATTTAAAAGAAAAAAAAAACCACTAAAGACTGTATCCCTCGTGGACTCAGCTGAATGAGTCTAAAAGCAAAGTATTGATTTCGAGTTACCTATTTGAACTCTGCTGTACTCCTCTCATTATATTCTTATGCATTCATATTTCTGTAATCTCCCTGCTAGATGTTTTTTGGATATTGGTTCAAGAGAAAAATAAAACAGTACTGCAGCCATGTGATATTTTCTGCATCCAAAAATGGACAATTACAGTGACAAAACGTTCTCCGAACAACTCCCAGACCACCAAACCCATAATTGACATCTAGCGCTGTGCTCTGTGAGACCCTGTACCACACAGTGGGATAATTTTTATTTCCTTTTTACACCATGAGACAACTTGCTTCCAACTATGTTACCTCCTATGGCTCCTATGGCTTTTAACAGATTTATGTTCGTTTTCCCCAAATCCTACCACTCACATTTTTAAAGACCTCTTACGCTTATTATAGTTCCCCTCCATAAAGATACTTAGGTAGGCTGTGTCCATACGATTGCTTAACGTTGAGTTATTATGCCCTGTATATGTATGTGTAAGTTTGTTTATATAGAAAAAATATGGCATACACACTATGTGTGTGTGTGAAAATATACAGAAAATGAAGGAACTGAATATCAACAAAAGCATACTGCAGATTTGCAAAGGCACATGCTGAGGTGAATTTCATGCTGGGGAAGACAGAAACCGGAAAACAATGTTTTGCTGTGGAGACATCTTCATCTGTGTCTTTTCTTCTTTCCCTTTTTTCTGCTTTCCAGTGCCCAATTAATCCGCACGTGTCAGTTCGCAGCTCCCCACTCAAGACTCACGAGATAATGCTACACTGCATTGATGAGCCCCACCAGGGATGAAACTAGTCTATATTTTGTAAATTGTTTTGACTGTCTTGAGATACTACCAGGAGTATTTGCTACCCAGTGAGCATGTGAGATCCATTATTCATCGCGTGAAAGGACAGGGATATAGGAGATCATACTGTATATGAATACAAAAAACCCACAGAGAAACTGTATTATGCTGAATGTCAGTCTATGGGATGAACAACCAAACAGCCAACAAAGGGCCAAAGCCCGCCTAGGATGATGATTTCAAAACGTACCTAAAACAAATATTTCCAAGGACCAAGAACAGCAAACTGCTCTGAGGTTTCAGGATTTCGAACAAGAACAGGAAACTGTCTTCAAGGTGCTCCCTAGTGAAGAGACAATTCAGGGAGCCCCCATGGACTGCAGCTCAGCCCTAGAGAGAAGAGACCACAGGGGCAGCTCTGGGCCGTGTCATGAGACGACTGTGCCCAAGGGGTAGAGTACAATCTAGATGGGTTTGAAACCCTCCTAAATCCTCTTTGCTGCCTCCTAGGGGCTTGGGTACTTTGCCATGTTACAAACGAGAGCCACCACTGTCCACCCTTCCACTGCAGTGGTTTCTCAGTCTCAAAAAGATGTTGAATTCCAAAGCACGAAGGCTTCTCCCTGGCAGCGTCCGTGTTGGGACGAAGTTCTGAGGCTACACTCCAGGGCTGATGCTTGCAAAATGGGGCAAGCCGATAAGAAAAAAACTGAGATTTAAAAATCGAATGAACAACTACAGGAGGGCTGTGCAACATGAAATCATTACAAGTGTGAGGTGGCCGTTCATTCCAATGAGCTCTTCGCTAGTAAGTAAATGATCCCAGAATTTTCTTCCTTGAAAGATCCCAGTCTTTCACCTTCAACAATGGTCAGGTAGCTTGTTCCTGTCCCCTGCGTCTTTTGTGCACAAACGTGCTTTCCTGCTCTCGGTTTTAAAATTTCCGTTTTAAAATGAAAGTACACTTTTACCTTAATAACCTTGATTTAGATTCTAAGCTTTTTCTTCCATCCATCCATTTTCTAACTGCTTCTTCCAGCGCAAGGTAGGATACACCCTGGATAGGACACCAGTCCATCACAGATGCTTTGACATACATGTGTTAACACTGTGTTGGCCTTTTTCTATTGTCTCTCCACAAGAGATGAAACAAGATGCTCCGTCAACAAAAACACTTTGCGTCTTTTTCAAAGGTGGCTTAATAGGCCGCATTGCCAAATTAGTATCCACGCTTTATGTTTTTGCTACCAGCATTTAATGCTCGACAGATCGTCTGCATTAAATACCAGCGGCCAAGTGTATGTCCAGCCTCGGATTTTCTCTGAAACTTTTTTATCCGATTTCCAGCTTCTACAGGGTCCGTACAGTTACCATTATTGGTAACTTGGTTTCGGTTTAGAGTAAAGAGCAGTGAACTCGGTGCTGCCTGAACTGCACTGCCTTGGGAGCTAGCAGGTGAAAACAATAAATGACACCTGACTCTATTTGTCACCCTCTAATGTACTGAAGGGGTGACAGTACTGAAATCACTCAGAATAGACTCACAAAGTCCTGGATGGATTTTAAAGCAACAGCAGAAGAGTTATGATTTGTAATACTTTCACAGCTTGACAGGTGGCTGTGGTTGCTCTTTGGATCGGTTAATGTTTTTGTGAAGCCTGTGTGTCTCTCACATATGTTACATGGCTGCAATAACAAATGTCATCAGGTGCTGACAAATCGCTTAACTTAACAGCAGCAGAAGCATCTTCCAGTCCGATCCTGTCAGATCGGAGCCGGGCCTGGTCAGGACAGGATGAGAGGCGTCCAAGGAAAAGCAGTTTCCTTCCTGCGCTAGGGGAGCAGTAGGTGCTGTTATTCCCTCCAGAGCCGAACTTCCGTCAACCACAATTCCAGTCTGGTGAGTGAGGGAGGCGTGCTGTCAGAGGGCCCCTCCTTCAGGTGACACATTACAGCGAGGTCCTAAACATTCCACAGCATTTTCCAAAGGAGCAGGGATGCGAGCACCCGCGCCCTAGCTAAGCTGCACTCCGGGTTTGTTTAGTCAGCTCTTCCCACAGCTCCCTATGAATCCGAATTTGGAAGCAATTTCCACCCCTCGATCTGGTATCCCGTGCAGTGAGAATGCTGGTACTCAGGACGGCTGCCTCTCAATGCCTAGTGGTGGATCCTGAGGGCTGTCTAGTATTTGTGAGACACTTTGGGATCCTTTTGAATGAAAAACAGAACTAAATATAACTATATTATTATTATTATTATTATTATTATTATTATTATTTTTATTCCAGTGCACCAATCTTATCTTATTCCACCACTACAATAGCATGATACTTCCTGGTCTCTCTCCACAATAACGAACCCTGACTGGAACTCAATAGCAAAACCAAGCTACCCACCAAGAGCTGCTAATGGCTATTTTCTTGAAACTACTACATTGTAAGGCCACAGGGAGCTGGGAAAGAGTACCTTTGTTTTGAGGGAGCTATGCTCTATGGCTGTTGGTTTCTCAGCTTATACTACCTTTCGAAAACGTGTTGGATCCCAAAGGACACATGAAGAAGCAAACCTTCAGGGGGTACATCTGTAATACTACAAAGGACAAACTTGGGGATAAAATTTAAATCCTCTTTAAACTTACTAACTCATTTCAACCATTGACTTAGACGTTACACTCGGACAGTCCAAGGTATGCAGAAATGTACTGTTCACGGCCAAATTAAAGCGAAATTAAAGAGCAACAGAGTGCAGGTCAGGTGTTTGAGACAGCAGTGAACACAAGCAACTAAAAACGGAAAACACCCCAAAGCTGAACTGTCCCTTTATGTAGGCAGCTATATCCACAGATGTCAGATTTAGCGTTGAATATTACTTTTGCAAATGCTACTTCTTTTATTTAAAAAAAAGCCCCATTCCCATTTGCATCAGAAACCGTATACCTGCCCCTGGCATTTTAAAAATTGAGACATCGCAGGTCATCTTTTGCCTTAAACAGTCATTCGTTTCGTAACACCACCATAGACCTATGGTTTGCAAATCAATTGCACAACCAAAACTTTGTCGAGTGGGCAGCTCTAGAAAGAAACGGAAGATAAAGTAGGCTAGGCAGTTTTAAATCATTTTGAAGCCTACAAAAGTGCCCTGAATAAAGCCACTAAAAAAAATGGAAGACAGCTCTTCGTTTATAGCTTCGCTGTTGACCGGATTAGTGCTTGTTCCTCCTCCAGTACTGCTAACTGTGCGGAGCCTTGAAATGAGAAGACCAAGAACCGTCTGGAGTGAGGTTAAAAGGGAACACGGCACAAGAGCTGATAAAAATGTTTTGCCTCATAAATGACACTGGAACCTCTGTAAATGGCAGTTTCGTACCTTGAGTAATTGATCTTCACAGATAACCTGTTGCGAGCCCCACGAATTCGCGGCAATGCAGTCCGTCAATCGCAAGGGGGCGCTATCGAGCGAGTTCCTCTCACTGCAAGCGTTCATGACCACAACCCTACCACTACCCTCCCAAAAAAAAGCGGAAAACGATGATTCTGGGTAACCAAAGTATAAATGAACGTTAGCTTTCAATTGCATGTGCAGTAGCTGTGTCTCGAATGCTTGGTTTGTTGGGAGAATTGATCTATTGCTACAAGAGGGCTGTCGAAACCACAGCTGTTAGACAAAGCCCGGTTTTAAGCTTCTGGCAAAAAAAGAATAATTTTAACAAACAAATCCTAATGTGTATGAAGAACATCACTGGTAAGTTTAATTTAGCAGCAATGCAGGTTTATAGATCATAATTAAACCGCTTTCCAAAATAAGGTGTGTGTGTGTGGGGGGGTGTCTCTTAATTTGCAGTGCAAGGTTGACAAATCGGTATACAATTTTGACTTCTCTCGAAATTGCGCTTTCCTTATACCGCAAAACTACTGAAAGGAGAATTAGCGTTTGTTCCTGAATTTCTGAACTTGTCGAGCCCGAACCGTGAGCTTCAGTGTAGGGGTGGGTGGGGGTGAGTCGATGTTGATTTCGAATTGTAACCATCAGGTTTGTCGTCAAGTTTCACCGGCGTGTATATTAGCTGTTTTAATAATGTTGTGTCTCCTTGCTGAGCTGTCACTCTGAACCACATCACAGGTTCCATCAGACGGAAATATAATTGGCCGTTTTCCTTCTGCTTGGAAAGGGGCGCTCCGTTGGGACTATATCCGCCTCCCTTTTTATATAAATCTTGAGTGATTATTCACACACGCTATAGTACTGGCTTGAATACGAGCGTTAAAATTGTTTACTTTACATGTTACGCTTTAATTACGGGCAATATTTGGTATTATTAATATTATTCCTATTTATGATTTAGCTCCACTAAGAAAATCGTGTTTATTATCTCCAGTCAGTGGGAGAGGGGGGAATGTAGTCTATCCTTGCACATTATTTTCTTCGCCAAACGACGTGCGGTTATTGTTTTTCAGCCTAAAATCTCAGATCATCAATTACCGTGGTACAAAAATAGAAAATAAGAGAAACTGTCCAACCTACTGTATACATTCGTCACAAAAGTCAGACCGAAGGAGCACATGAAATAAATAATCAAGACACCTTTTTGGAGGTAAGAAAACTAAACTCCACAGGCGTTAAGTTTCCACTGTGCATATTCACGCCTTTATTCACTCTCAGTACGTGTATTCTTTGTAAACAAATCTCTACAATTTGTCATCTGATTTACAAGAAAAGAATTATCGAGAGTATAAAGAGAAAGTGGAAAGAAATCTTGCCAGTTTCTCGAGATTTCTTTTTTTTTGGGGGTTCTCCGGTAGATCACTTTAACGGTTTGGCTTTAATACACACAGGTTCCACACACAATTCGCCGTCTCGTGTAATTATGCATTTTTAAGGATCGTTTTTTTATTTATGTCTAGATGTATAGATTAGATTATGATTATAAAAAGGTACTGTTAAAAAAAATCGAAAAACCTCTTTTATAATTTTACCCGTCTTAGTTGTGTGCGTAGGACACACTATTTGTCCCCCCAAATAAAAATAAAAAAAATATCTTGCGATATGTAGATGCAGGGGGTATAATTTTAAGCCTCGGAATAATTTATATTTAAATTTAACACTGAACCGGGCACTTCTAGGGCGGATTGGAGTGCGTAGCGGTATTTTGGGAAAAAATAAACGACGTGAAGTGATGGCTTTGTGATTTTCCGCCGCAAGGGCTATTTATTTTGTTATTATTATTAATAAAAAGGTGAGAGAAAAAAGCCTACGAGAAACGATGTGGAAACGCAGTAGTAAAACGCGTTCCACAGGTCATTAGGAGCCCTGGGGCAGCTCTCACGTTCACGTGTCCGGGATAAGGACTCGGTAACCTCCTGCTAATGAGAGCGCAGTGAGCTGTTTCAGGGAGCCGGCGTCCAAATTAAAACAGGTTCACATTAAGTAGTGTCTGGGGCGAATACACAGGACCGTGCAATGGTGCTATAAAACCGCTCGGAAGCGAAGGCGAGCGCAACTTTTTGGCCGCCTCCAGGTGAGTATAACGATGGCTTGCATTTTCACAATCGCCTGCCTCTCGTACGTGGGACGTTGTGCAGCGCCAGGCTGGCCAATTTTACACGGCGAGATCCCGGCTTTTTAAAAACACGAGTTGAGAGAAGGTGGCGCAAACGTGTTTTTATTCTGTGGAATCTGCCTTTAACGTTTGATCAAATATCGTGTTGGAAGTCCGTTTCTCATCCGCCCGAGTAGCCTTCTCTAAAAATCGTGTACTACCTAAATCCCCCCCCCCAAAAAATACATATATACAGCTGGCCAGAGAACTGTCATTTTATCATCCGAGAAATAGAAAAGGAAGCGCGTACCTTTATTTTGCTTAAATTATTTTGGGGTTTTATAGACGCGTTTTAAGATTCTCCTAAATGCTTTGCAGTGACTTGTTAATTAGTAGATGTCTAATTAAATTAATGTCTGCAGACTCGGCCAATGGGCAAGGAAGGGTGAAGGATGTATCCCATGAATATCCCAAAGCCCCACCCATGAACCACACAGCAAATTGGGAGTGTGAATAAGGCGATCGTCTATAAATGCCCTGAACCAATTTTATCACTTGCAGATTATAACCCGAGTTGTGAAAATCTGGAGGTGTGTCTGTTGCAAGGCTACGGTGTTTAGCAGAAGGGAAACTCGCCGCCTCTAGAACAAGTTCTCCACGCAGCAAGTTGCTCGCTTAAGCCATTTATTATTATTATTTGGAAGCTTTAGTGCCTAACAAGTTGGTGTGTTCTCTCTCCTTTCTTTAAAGGATGCAGTTAGGAGAGGCGCTTTTACCCAGCACGCCTATCAATTTGCCCAAGACGTTTTACAACCTCTCCTCCTCCGAGAGTAACAATAACAGTCCCGGATCGACGCAGCTCGACTTTCAGGAGGTGGATCGGACAGACTCGGAACCAGCGAACGGGTCCAAAAAGTACCTGGGCACCGGGGGCAACAGCATGTTGAGCGAGGGGGAGACCGAGACCTTCGGCGGAGCTAAAGTCGCACCAGACGGCAGGAAAAGTTCTCCAGGTGTAGGCGAAGACGACTTGTCCAGCGGCGGCCGCTATAACATAGACGGTCTGGGCTCGGAAAGATATTTCATATCGTCCACCCCCCAGCAGGCCACCGAGGTGGGGAATCCGTGCTCTCTGTTCCCCTATGCAGGCCAGCCGGGGACGGTGTATGCTGCGTCCAGCGGCTCCAGGTATCCAGCCTCCTTGCATTACGGATCTGTCCTCCCGCCCAGCGGGTTTTCCTCTGCTGTCTGCGCCGGTAGGAGTCAGTTTGGGCCGGGGTATCAGTTTGGACAAGGTCCGGGGTGCCTCTACCCTTCGTACCCGGCGACAGGTTCGAGTATCGGTTCGTTGTCCATCCCGGGGACGGGGACTGGAGTTCGGGCTCAAGTCTACCTCTGCAACCGGCCGCTGTGGCTGAAGTTTCACCGGCATCAGACAGAAATGATCATCACCAAACAGGGAAGGTAAGAGATTATGCGTTTTTAAAGTTTCTTGCCGCCGTTCACGGTCCGATAATGGGTGACATTTGTGTTCAACCGCTTTCTTTTCTCCCTGTGACTTTCGTGAAAGATCTCAAGCGAAACTGCGATAGTAGTGAATTTCACAGACTCATGGATTTTTTTATAGCAAGGGCTGCAGCTAATCGATTTTTTTAATTGTTGGATTTGCTACATGTTCTAATGCCCACGCTGTAAATGGGTACAATCATAATTACAAAAACGACATCCAAGGTTTGAATCTCCCATGTCAATCTAGTTTTAAAAATCTGTAAATGTATGTCGTGAATTGTAATCACGCAGATTGGAAAATATTTAGTTTTTTTTTTTGGCGAGCATAGATATGAAAAAATGTAGGTGGTCGTTTTCTCTACAAGTGGTTTCGTAAAGTTTCATATTTTAAACGGCGAGTCTTTGATTTCGACATGAATTCATATCTTCGAATATATTTTAATGTGCGTTGAAATAAACTTGGCTATACAGAAATGTAATCGGCCAAATTTTGGCACTGGCGGGGAGTTGTGCTGTACTATTGAAACGGTTTTCGTTCTTAATAAAATCCGATTTATTCAAGGTGCTTAAATATTGATGGGCATATTTTTAAGTTTTTTTTTATTTTTGAATATCGTGCATAACTGAAATATTGACACCTATTTGGGGTGTAAAAAAAAACACAAAAATAAATATCCATCAAATAACCACGAAATGTTCTGAATGAACCTATTGGATTTTATATAACCTCAAACTCATTAATTTGTTTTCCCCAAAATGGATGGAATATTACTTTGGGTTGGGGGAGGGGGTGGGAATCTGGATGAATTTCTTAATTTATAATGATTCCCTACAATTAATTAGCAGTGCACCTCTAAAACAAGTTGCTCTCCATTTCTCTCAGGCGAATGTTCCCGTTTCTCAGTTTCAATATCACGGGACTGAACCTCACGGCTCATTATAATGTTTTCGTGGAAGTTGTGCTGGCAGATCCGAACCACTGGCGTTTCCAAGGAGGAAAGTGGGTCACCTGCGGCAAAGCGGACAATAACATGCAAGGTACGAGAGCCATTTTAAACCGTCATACCCCAGGAAATAAACGAATATGCGTAATAGACTGCCAATTGCTTTCACGTTACAATTGCAGACGAAAACCGGTTTGAAAGTAGGGGTCGTGGGGTGATGGATCAATGGGTAGAATATATTGAGGGTGTGTTTTGAAGTAATTTAATTTGTGGAATGGTGGTGCCAGTATTGTATAAAGATTAAAATGCAAAATGGCTGCAATTAAAATGGGGCGGAGGGAAATGTGCATGCTGGAGTAACGTTAAATTCACCCCTCTCTTCCAATGATTACTTTGAGTTGAAAAGCTGCATATTTCTGGCTATTTTTTTGCACACAGTATCGTATGCATGGGACTCAAAGGCAGTTGTTGCTTTGTAAATCAAGAATGACTCGTTTCTTAACTTCACGGGGTTGTGTTTTTTTTCCTCTCTCCCCGCTTTTGCTTTTTTAGGAAACAAGATGTATGTTCATCCCGAATCCCCAAACACAGGGGCTCACTGGATGAGGCAAGAGATCTCCTTTGGCAAGCTCAAGCTGACCAACAACAAAGGCGCCAATAACAACAGTACGCAGGTTAGCTGGCATGTCTGGGGGGGGTGGATGTTGAACACCTTGCGTTTCGATCTTTAGGCCGCTGGAAGAGAGCTGTGCGAAATGCATTTTTCAGGACGAGCTTAATGCACAGCACCGGGTCCCAAAACAGTTTTTCCACTGAAAATTGCTTAATGCACAATTAAAGGTGCTTAGGAGCAGAACAAGAGGCAAAGGGAAATGGCTTGAATAGCTGATGGTGAGGGTGTTTCCTGTGGGGGTCTCACCTAGCTTTGTTTAAAAGATGTCGGGGGGGGGGGTTTATTCTAGGCCAACATTCTAGGATGGCAACGTGCGATCTAGTTTCGAGCCTCTTTTTCTGTGATCCAGATCACGAATTCATACCTTTTCCTTTTCCGCCTTGAGGATGGGCTGAAGCATTTTTCTTTTAAGAGTGGGCCCTGCAATTACAGATGGGGGTCGCTGCGGGTATGTGTGAAGCTCCGTCTGGTAAAGTGGTGCGATTGACCCTTTCGTTTTGCAGATGATCGTCCTGCAGTCCCTGCATAAGTACCAACCACGGCTTCACATCGTTGAGGTTACAGAAGATGGAGTGGAAGACATGAGCAGCGAGTCCAAGACGCAGACTTTTACCTTTCCGGAAACCCAGTTCATTGCGGTGACTGCTTACCAGAATACAGACGTAAGCCGCTTCGTCTGTTCTGAAGAACCCTCACCTCCACCCCCACCCCCTCCACACGCGCGCACACACACGCACACTCCCCGTTGTCCAGGGACTGGCTGATTCTAAAAGTGGATCTTTCTTCTTTATTGGCAGATCACGCAGCTTAAAATCGATCACAACCCTTTTGCGAAAGGCTTCCGGGACAACTATGATTCGTGAGTATCCACCATTCCCTGCCTGAAGAGTCCATCAGATGAATGGCCATTTAAAACTTGCACGTCTCTTTTTTTTTTTTTTTGGCTGATTTTATTCAGGAAACAGTTGTTTGGATACGTGCTTGTGGGGGGGAGAGAAATGTAATAGTGATGCATCCTTCTCTAAGTAATGAACCCAGAGTCAGTAGCTTGGCTATGCAACGACCTCCTGCCTAGCTGCCCGTCAGTAAGAGTGGTATGACCTTCTATCTTGCTGCAGAATGTACACCGCTCCGGAGAATGACCGGCTCACTCCTTCCCCGACGGATTCGCCCCGATCCCACCAGATTGTCCCAGGTGCCCGGTATTCCATGCAGCCTTTCTTCCAGGACCAGTTTAGCAACCTGCCCCAGAATCGCTTCTACAACGGTGAGAGAACGGTGCCGCAGACTAATGGCATTCTTTCACCACAGACTGAGGAAGCAGGAGCCCCTTCTGCACAGAGGTGGTTTGTGACCCCAGTACAGCAAGCGGGCTCGAATAAGCTGGACCTTACGTCTTACGAGGGCGACTACTCCACGAGCACCCTGCTGCCCTATAGCATTAAGTCCCTGCCCCTCCAGACCTCCCACGCCCTCGGTTACTACCCGGACTCGGCTTTCGCCTCGATGGCTGCTGGCTGGGGCTCGCGGGGCACGTACCAGCGCAAGATGACCACGGGCCTCCCCTGGTCTCCGCGGCCGAGCCCCCCCGGCTTCCCCGAGGACCACCTGTCGAGCAAGGACAAGCTAAGGGAGGAGAACGGCACGTCGTCCTGGATTGACACCCCTCCTTCCTTGAAATCCCTGGACTCCTCCGACTCGGGCGTTTACTCCATGGTCTGCAAGAGGAGACGCGTCTCCCCGAGCAGTTCCAGCACTGAAAACTCTCCGACGATCAAATGCGAGGACATAACCACCGACGACTACAGCAAAGACAACTCCAAAGGCATGGGGTACTATGCCTTCTATACAAGCCCTTAGATAACCCCTTCGCCTCTTATTTTTTTTGAATGTTTGAATGTTAACTTTCTTTTGTGCTCAGGTCATTTGAGGAGTTACAGTCCCAGATTAGTCCCCCTCCCCTGTTTTCTTCAGAAGTGTGCTATTGTGTGTAATTCTTACTGAAGGTGCCAAAGCTTTTGATTGCTCAGAGCAGCAGTTGTGCCAATATCTGCCCTTAACGTGACAGTATTTTAAAAGCTCTACATTTTTTGATAAGCATGCTATTTTTCTTTTTTTTTTTACAAATCTGTGATCTTATTTATTGAAAGCTGTCTTTAATGTACAGTATATGTGCACTGTAGAATGTGAGGTATCTTGTACAAAATGTCTCCATGCCAGTGTCTATTGAAAATCGGTAATAAAATCCTCTTCATGTTTTCCGAAAATCGGATTTTTCTGGCTTTTGACAATGGGATGATGCCTGTTCCGGTTTCCTGACGGTGAATCTTGAATAAATCTGCGCAGCATTAAATACCTTCAATTTTAAAAGGCTTTTTTTTTTCTTTCTTGAAGCGGCACATTTAGCCACGAAAAGCAACTGTTGTTAAAATATATTGGGCGGGGGGATATGGAGTTTTCAAACCTGCGCCCATTTTGTGAAATTAATGGGTCTTAATATCTGTGGGTTCGGGAGTGGATACAGACCTGCACGGAACTTTTCGCTGTTATTACCTTGCTCAATGGGCTGTAATGTGTTGTGTGCGCATACCTTGTGCGGGTTTGTGTGTGACGCTATCGATTCTCATGCGCAAAGTTTACTTCTATCCTACCAATGCGACCGGGTGCTTTATGAGTCAGACCAAGCAGGTGTTTGTTTTAAAATGGCTGGTTTTGTAAAAATGGGAGGGGGTCGTTTACAAAACGATTGTTATACATTTGCTTCGCGATGAACCCCTCACATGGTCCGGAAAAACTTTTGCCTAAGGCTGTCTGGGTACGGACCGGGTATATAACTGTACCGGGTGTTAACGCGTCACTCGCTTTCCTGTTGACACGTTTTCGTTTTCAACGCCCCTTCAGTCCAATTTGAATCTTATCATTTGGAAATCATTATCGGTTTCACGGATCATTATAATAATGAATAGGCCTGAATCCGAATGTTTTTAAAACCGGAGTTTTCACTTGCATTCACTGCGCAAGTGCCCAGTTTTATAACTTTTTAACCTAGTAGCCCCTCGCTTAGGTTTAATTATTGGCTGTTGTTCATGATATAACTCGGCAAGAGAACGTGTTTTTAGAACATAAAGGCAAGTGGGACTTTTGCACTCAGTGGTCAAGAACGGCGTTTAACACTTCGTTAAGGGGGTAGTACAGGTTTCTGTAATGTTTTTATGGCATTAAAAATTCATTGCAATTAGCTAGGTTATACAGCGCTCCTCGGCTTCTCTAGCATTTCACTGCTCTTTGTAGCCGTGTTTGTGAGCTATTTATCGTGTGCTGTAAGCATGGGGGAACAATTACAGGCACAAGAGACCGTAATCGGTCTTGAATGGTAAATACTAATGTGCTCTGGGTGTCTCTCGAGTCTTGATGCCAGAGGGAGGTTAATTAATTGTTTCCGCTGCCGCCTTTATCGCTCCATCTGGTAACTTCATTGGTTCTTTCAAGATTCTTTTGAACCTGTGAAATTTCTCGAGAAATCTGCCTGCTCGATGCCGTCGGGAGCGCCGCCGTGGGTCAGCCTGGTTCCGCTCTTGACCCGCAAGAAGCCCGAGTCAGCCGAGAAGCCCGTCTCCGAGCGCCTGCTGCAGGAAGACGCGGTCGACTAGCCTGCAGCCTCCCCATTCCCTCTTTGCTCTGTATCTCCAGCCCATCTCTTGACGGTTAACACTCAAGAAAACCTCCTATCTCCCTTTCAGATCTCGCCGTGTCGGTATCATTGTTTTCGTTTGTTAATTATAGTTCTAGTCGAGCCTTGCTTGCAGACACCGGAATGAAAAGAAACTTAGAGTGCTTCATTGTCCCTGAAGACTAAACGGCTTTGGCATTAAGTTAGCATTAACGGGATGGGTTACACAATTTCGGTAAAATACTATGGTAAAAAAAAACGCAATCTCACGGGACATACCTGTATATTTCTTCAGTCTAACACGAATATCGAACTTCTCTCTCGGCGTCCACCTAATACCTCCCTAAAAGGCAAAAGAAAATATTTTCACGATAAATATGTCAAGGCTATTTTTTTTTTTTAGTAATTGATCATAATAATTTTACAGTAAATGAGCAGCAACAGAGGGGGAGAACATCACAGATGGGAACAACAGCGCACACCGTTACATTAAAAATATAATTCATCAGACTTCTTAGAAATATGAAAGATGACATAAAATCCGATTAATAATTAAACTAGTTGATAATTATAGGAAAAATATAGCACAGAGCACACTACATGATAACACGCTAATAAAAAAGTAACATTTTTCCAATCGCTTTTCGTATTTTTATTATGTTGTATTTCTAGTGTTCGTATTTTAATAATATTTTTAAAATATCTCCCTAACCCCACTCCCAACCCCCATTTTCTGATATAAACACACTTACTCATAGCCTAGAGTGTTTCAGCCACACCATCAAAGGAATAAAATAGTTTTAGTCATCGCGACTCGCGGTTTGTGCCCTACCGAGCCGCGTGTATTTCACCTACCTTTTCTTTAAATGTATTCTTTTCCAAGAAATCATAAGACCCAGAAACAGATTTTTTAAAACTGCAGGCTATAAACATTCGTATTCAAACGATACACCAAAAAAAAAATCCCCAAAACGATTTAAAATGAATGGAATCTAACGTGTGGTTGTAGTCACGAAATTTGTCCAAAATGTGACACTGTGATTCTAAAAGATGTAAAAGTACATCTAAAACAGCGTTTCTGAAAAATAGCGTTCAGTTTTCCTATAAACCATCTTGACACATATTTTAATAGAACATTTCAATTTCCTCTGTTTTACACGATATTTATGACGCGGAAAGGCAAACCAAAATCCACAATTTGGGATAGTAACAAAACTCTTCATGAATTTTAAAGGTAGTACACAATTTTATGTAAGAACACGCAAATGAACAGAAAAAGGATTTGTCGGTCCAGATTTTTTCGAAAACGATTCCGCGTGCCAATTCTAAAATCAGCCTGCTAAACCTTGAAATAAGAAATCAGAGACGTCTTTACAGAAATCAGCGCTATAAAGTGTGAGTAGATTTAAATAAACCCACTGAAGATATAAAAATAATAAAAAATACACGTATATATCTCCTTTTATAAAACTAAAAAAAATACAAACGTATTAACATTAATAAGACTATTAACTTTGATCAAAGAAGATTATCCTTTTAACTGCCACTGTCTAAATTCCGAAAGCAATGACTTTATTCTGCCAAATTGTGAAGTTTATTGTATCATTTTTATAGGACTGTGTATAGAGGCATTCTGATTATTCTTACTCAAAACCTTTAACATCCTTTGCTTGCATGGGGCTGTAAACATGTATGAATTAAAGGAACTTTAAACAACTAGCTACAACTAACAACGTACTTCAGAATTGTACAAGTATTGAAGAGTATTATATAACTATGATCATACAAAATGTTTCGATTGGTAGTTCTAATTGACTTATTAAACACTTCCTTAATTTCAAACACCTCAATTACACCGTTAAAAAAAACCCCTGTGATTTTTGTTTTTGAAAAGGAAAGTGTATTTCTCTTGTGAGGAGGTGTTTTGGTGCAGTCACAGCACTGATTTCATGACTCTTGCGACTGATGGAGTAATAACCATGTATACGCCAATAACGCGATTTCCTCTTCAAGTAACACAGTACAGTGTTTAGAGCCCAGGTGAAAATTTCATTGACACAGGCCTTCATCAAAAGTACCAATAAAAACATCCAAGACTTCCTAGTATGACCAGAAGCTGATGTTTTGCTATATTCACGCTACAATGCGCAGACAGATGAAAATAAAATGCATTACGTCCCTTGCTTCCAGTGTCGATAACGACCTTTTTTGTGAATATGATGCAGTTTGGTGTACAAGGGATCTTTGAGATCAGATATACTGTGAAGATATTAAGAAACTATAGCATGTGATTCAGCCTGGGCGTGAGTGAGTAGTTTTAAATATTGCCCTTTTTTTAAAAAAAATGTCTTCTCTATCAGGTGTTTTCCTTGAACGCTTTCCTGCAGTATTCATGGATCACGGTTTCACACATTTTAGACTTATTGTAAAGAATGGTTAGTGTGGATCTTCATCCAAATGCATGCAACACACGTGTTGAGACACAACATGGGAGTGTATGTCCACAGAAGTACACAGGGGGCTACTAAGCAGCTCAGCTAGTGAAAGGCTCATACAAGGGGAGTCCTGCAGTTTATATTTAACTGATTTATACCTCGTCGGTAGGGAACTGTGACCAGGATTTCCCAGACAGTGAGGCGCAATTGGTGGATCACGACCAACGTCAGTGCTCGAATTGGCCTAGGTCATTTCAAGCTCTCCTGCAGCAGAAAGCATGGATCAGGCCTGGACTCTGAGATAGTCGTGTTGTCAGGGAGAGGTGCACTGCTCCTCCACCAGGTGCTAACTCTCTCTTATGGCGCTGTGGAATCTGCAGCATGTCGAATGACAAATGGGTGTCAGGAGTGTTGGAGGAGTACAGACGCAGGCTTTCATTCTCCTCATTCAGGGGCTGTAGCTGCATGATGAGCAGATGAACAGTCGATGTTTCCTGACTGAGAGAGTCTAAAGTTGAACGATGAATTCCATTTACAAATTTTAACAGAAGGGGATTTACCTTGGCTCAAAGGAAGGAGATAAAATCTATCGACAATCACGCATTCATAATTATTTTTTATGAAGAAAGTCAATATTTGAAATATTCTGGAATGAAGTTCAAAGAAGAACCAAAGAAGAAAAGAGAATTCCCAGGAAAAGTGCAGATTGATTATTCAAAGGTTTTTAATGGAATTCAAACAAATGCACCTCAAATATTGTGCATATTACAATAAATATGACTTTCTTTTAAGTATTACTTTCGCATTTTAATTACTGCAAGAACCAATAAAATATGCATGTGAGAGGCTGATAGGACAAAGAAAAGCTTTGTTAGACTGAGGCCAACACACCAAATGCCTAAAACTGGCATTTAATTGGTCAAAATGCTGGAGTGCCCAGACAGAAATATTGAGAAGTCTTTACATAAAAACTGCGAAAAATTAAAAAGGCAAGAAACTGTCAAAATATTGTGCTATTGTGCTACAGTTGAGCACAGGTCTGAAGTTGTTTTCCTGGTGTACAAACTGGAGATGCAATAACGGTGCAGTTTAATTCCAGTCTTTTGAATCCCGCAATACCATTAACAAGGTGATTACAGGGGGAAGGGTCTGTTAATTAACACGATAATGACACTAAACACACACAAACAGTACCCTGACCCTGTTTCTCCACCGAAATGGTGGAGAAAGAGACGGACAGGCGAATAAAAAAAACACAGCCACCA